CACTCCCACAAACTGAGCCGTATTGGCCAGGGCTAAATGCACACATTACATTTAACACTTGGACATCTTAACGTTACCCCAGACCCAAGTCCAAAACAAAGTTAACAATCTTGACCTCAAAGATCTAGTTCTCAACCACTGTTACCTCTCCTTGTCAATGGTACTACCATCTACCCTATCATGAAAACCAGAAACTAAGGAAATCTTTGACCTCTCTTCCTCATCCTCCGTATTTTGTGGATTTTATCTCCTATAATCTCAAGCTCATATGTTTCTCTGAACTCATTTCTGTCATCCTGTCCAAGAATTATTATTTCTCACTTGGACTCACTTGGAGTTCAGGCATAATCTTTTATTTCTTTCTAAATTATCCCCCATATCATAGCCAGAATCATGATTTCCAATTGCAAATCATGTCACTCATCACTTTTTCTCTCTTCCAACTCCCATCTTACCCTACCTCCCTAACTTAAAACCTTAAAATGACTTCCCTAAATTTTTAAGATAAAGCAAAAATCTTTGAATTGGATCATTAGGGTCTGCTTGATCTGGTTGCTATCAAAGAGAGCCTCACTCTCTTTCCCAGATGATTCCTCTACACTCTTTCTCACTCCAGCCACATTAGCTTTCTTTTGATCCTTTACATTTATCGCAACGCCTCCTGCCTCAGGACCTTTGCACATACTCTTCCCACTCTCCTTTGATTAACAGCCAACATAGGAATGGCCCATACAGCTTTCAAATCATGGCTCAACCTCATGTTTGTGGAGAACAACGACATCCCCTCCCTAGTGCTGTGCTTTAAAGTGCCTTCCACAGTGGCAAGTTTGCATTCATGTTCTTTTGATTTCTGTCCGTCTCCTCCAAACCTTAAAGTTCCATGAGGTCTGAGACTCACCCAATACCAGCACAGTGCCAGGCACAGAATGGTCACTTAGTAAATATTAGTTGAATAACTGAAGAAAAGAAAGAAGAAGCTACTATGTTAGGTTCTGGGGTTACAAAGATGAATAAGGCACAGAAATTCCAGAAAACAACTCAGAGACTGGGAGTGGGAAGGCACAAGCAGATGAGAGGATGAGTAAACAGATCCAGGGTGTAACAGGGTGATGAGAACATAGCAGAGGGGCAGGCCAAAGGACGATTATGCCTGGGCCCAGCTCACCACCCCCCAGATGAAGTTCAGTCAGGTGTCTATGACTGAGCTCTCAGTCCTCAGCAATGCTGTGATGTTACTGCTATGCCACCATTGTATCCCAGCCATGGCAATGCCACCCACACTGCCACAAATTCTGCAGGAGCACTCTCCTTAGGAACTGGGTACTCTCCGAACCTGTTCTGAATGCAGTGTTATTAAAGACCCTGGTCATAATAAAAGCATCGTGTAGAGCACTTCAGTCAGAAGAGCTTCTGGTGCCTTCTGGACAGTGATCTCATCATGTCCTCAGACCAACTCTGGGTAATGCAAAGGTTAATAATTTTTCTTCCCACCGTACAGCTGGGGAGACTGAGGTCAACAGAGATGACTTGACTTGGCCAAGGATTGAGAACAACTCAGGAAGAGAACATGGAGAGAGCCCAAGGCCCTGTCTATGGGGTCTACCAGCCAGACCAATTGGCAGAGGAGGACTGCTCAGCCGAAGGATCTGCAGCCGAAGCCTGCAGGCTTGTTTGCTTTGGTGCAGAAACACATGTCATCACCTCTTGGAACCCTAGAATGTTAAAGCAGACGGGCCCTGAGAGATCATCTGATTCAACACTCTTGTTTTATGAAGGAAGAAACCGAGGAATCTCCTTTACCCTTCCTCTCCTTTTCCTACTGATACTGAGTGATAGGGCAGAGACTGCTAGCTATCTACCCAAACCCCTTCTCCCCTGCTTTCCCTGTATGGCTAGACTGTATTTCCCAGATGCCTTTGCAGTTTGGTGAGCCATGTTTTCTCCAGCGGGATCTAAGAGGAAGAGAAGCATGCCACTTGCAGGCTGGGCCCATTCAAACTTCCCATGCTCACATCTCCATGTTCTTTTCACCGCTGGCTGACAGGAGTGTCAATTCCAAGGGCAACTTTGGAAGCCATCCATACATTAGAGAATGGCAGAACTGCCACGGTGTAGATCCCTGAAAGATTCTGTGAGACACACCCCACTCACTTGAACAGCAGTGCCTAAGGCTGTTAAGTGAACAAGAAGAATAAAACATCTATCATGTAAAACTGCTGTGTTGTGGGGGAGGGTCGCTATTTGTTATTGCAGTTTAGCTTAAACCTAATCCAATCAATGCAAGTAGAGACAGGAAAGGCCCTGCAAAAGCTCTGACGACTTACGGTGTTGGGTAGTAGAGACAACGGACTCAACCATTTTTGAGTGTCCTCACGCTCCCTCTGGAGAGGTTAGGAATGCCTGACTCCTAACTCAGTCTCGAAATGTGGTCTGAGGTGTCCCACTTGTTTCATTCTAGATAAGTAAACTCTCAGGGCTGGAATGGATCTGCTATGTCATCTGACTTACCCCCCTGGCTCCAGATAGGGCGTCTTCTAAACCATCTGAAATGACCAAAATTATTGTTTGGATTTTTATATCTCTGGGAAGGAAACACTGCAAATGTCCTTAGACATCTGTTTCATATACCCTTGCTACTATGTCAGAAGGTCTTTATTGAATCCTAAAACAACAGAGCTGGAGCACCTTTGCAATCATCTAGGAGATCGATCTTTATTTTACAGATGAGGAAACTAAGGCCTAGATCACAATGTTAAACAGTGGTAAAGCTAGGACAAGAAGCAAGGGCTCTAGGACCAAGTTAATGACTCTTTCAGGGTTCTCTCTGCCTCCAGCTTGCTCTTGCTGTTTCCTCTTGCTCTGTCCTAGGAGAAGATGAAAAAGCACAGGCATTCATCTTCACTGGGATCCATCTTTCCAGGTTTTCCTTTGCCCCCGCTCCTCATTCATAGGTTAAGCCCTACTCAGCTCACCTGAACTTGATCATTTCCCTTAGGAGTCAGAGAGAAGATCAGAGAGAGAGAATTCTTGGTGCTTACAGGGAAGGCACATGTGGCAGGTGCACATTTGCTCCTTGGGCCATGGTAATGAAGGTAGAGTCTCTAGTGGGATCTCTAAATCCACCTGAGAAACCTGTAAGAGCCACTAACTCTTGAACATTACTGGTTGCCTGGGGATGGTAATTCGTGCTACGTGAAATATTTTCTGAGGAAGGAAGGGAGCAGCCGTGACCAGAATCTCTAAGCACAGTGTCTTGTCTTTGTTGGGGCTTGCAGGGCTGTGTCTGGGCAATTGGGGTGTCCTGCCTGTTAATATGAGAGCAGAATCCCAAGCATTTGAGTGGGGGCCATCAAACCAACTTACTTACATGGGGATCATTGTATGATACCTTCTTGGAAGGACCTGGAAATTCCCTGTGAGAGCCCAGGAAAACTGGGGTTTTGTGGTTTTTTTAAAACAGAACAAAATAAAACCAAATTGTTCCTTCTCACTCCCCTATTTAAGATGAGCTTGTTTATGTGGCGCATCCATATGTCTTCTGCCCAGTGACTCACATGGAGTGATTTACCAGAAAATGGGCCTAGGTCTGCCAGCAGCTGCCCTGGACACCAGGATCGGCTCATTCCCCTGGCCCTGGGCTCTGAGGCTCTGGATCGCAACGGAGAGAGCAGAGAAATGGGGTGGAGAGGCAGACCGGAGGGGGAAGTCGCAACCCAGAGCTTCACGAGCACCTGGTGCTCAGATAGGGACCTCCAACAGAACTGACGAGATCCCCAAGGAGCTCTGGGTTTTATTTCATTTGAGACATTGTCTGAAACATTGCAAATTCTGAAAAATGGGACCAGAATTAATGATGCCACATGGTCATTCATAGATACATTCCTTATCTTTGGGTCTGGCTTCAGAATCTTGAGCAAGTTATTTTCCATTTTGGGCCCCTCTTTCTTCACCTAGAAATGAAGAGGCTCGCAACCCTAAAATTTAGACTTTTTATCATTAATTTACTGGGAAGGGAGGGAATATGGACACATACGGGACTTTATTTACCAGAAAAATCTGTTTACATTAAATCTTTACATTTCTCCCTTGAAGGTTCCCATTTAAAATTCAGTGATCTCTGTGAGGACTTTTGTTGAATTTGCCATCTGCAGCCCTTTTACCGATTGAGTTCGCCCTAGCAGTTCCTGAATTCACAGTTTTCTTTTCCCTGCGGCCTGTTCGGGTGTCCTGGTGGTGACATTTCTGCAGAACTCTGGTGCGAGCCAAAGGCAGCGGTCACTGGGGATGAAATCCAGGCTGGAGAGCGAGCGGTGAAGGATGATGACTCCGGCACTGGCCGCAGGATGAGGTGTCAGGCTTGGCAGCAGCGAACCCAGCACCAGCCCTGGGGCCTGGAGTATTGGGGTGGGGAAGGGGGACACTTCAAATTAGTCAGGGGCAATGACCGCACAGGGTGGGGAGCAGGGGCACAGGTTTCACTCCTCCCCCATATTGAAGCACTTTGTAAAATCTCTTTAGTGCTAATTAAATTACCCAATGCCTGCTTTTCACCGATTTATTGTGCATTTAAGGAGTTGGGAAATTCTGGTTCCTGACTCGGAAGACTCGGTTTTTCTAATTTTTCTCGAAATGGCAAAGCCATACTAATAGGTGTGTGTGGGGGCAGGCGGGGGGGGGGGGGCGAAAGAGAGAGAGAGAGAGAGAGAAAGAGGGGGAGGAGGGAAGAGAGAGAGAAAGAGAGAGAGAGAGAGCAAGTTGACGGCTCCGGGGCTGTCACCCCGCGGTCGCCGGCCGACCGCTCGGCGGTGGCCGGCCCCCGCCCCCTTCCTGCCCTCTCCCCGCCCCCGGGCCAGCCGCGCTCGGCGGGTGATGTCAACCAGCGGAGGAGCCGCCCGCCCCGCGACCCGCCCGGGCTAATTAGCATGTAGCGGCGCCCGGGCCGCCTCAGCCGCGCCTGCCGGGCCCCCGGCCGCCCCCCCCCCGCGCGGCTCCCCACAACTTTTGAGGCGGGGACTGCGCTCGCAGCCTCACTTCGCTGACTTCCCCGGCCCTACACGGCACCCGCCGCCGGCTTCCCTCGCACCCGCGCCCGCCCCGCGCCCACCCCGCGCGCCGGGCATGTGAGCGCGGGCGGACGCCGCCACCATGGCCTCGCCGCGCGCCTCGCGGTGGCTGCCTCCGCTCCCGCTGCTGCTGCTGCCGCCGCTGCTGCTGCTGCTGCCGCCGGCCGCCCCCGGGACGCGGGGCCAACCGCCCTCCCCGGCCCGCGGCGCGCCCAGTGGGGCGCCTCTCGCAGGCGCGGGGCTGGCGCGGTCGTCCCAGCCCGGCCCCGAGCACGAGCTGCAGTCGCCGCCACCCACACCGCCCCGGGAGCGCCGCGGGCCCGCGCCCCCCGGCTCCAGCCAGACGGCCCAAGCGCCGGACGCCGCTACACGGCCGGGACCCTGGGGCCGGGTCCGCCGAGGCGCGAGCGCGGGTGAGTGAGAGTCGGGGACCAGGAGACGAGTGAGCCTCGGGCTTGGGGTGTGGGCGCGTCCCGGGGCCGCATCCCCCACCCTAGGCCCCTCAGCGCCGCTCGACCCGGGTGGGGGCTCCCCTGACCCGGGCGTACGTGGGATCCTGAGAGCGGGCAGGGAGGGAGGGCAGCGAGCGGGCAGTGTGGATTTCCTAGACGATTTCGCTGGTAGCTGGACTGGGGGTGTGACCATCCTGTTTTCCTCCCACTCCTTGGAAGAAAACTTATCTCCCATGACGTACCCAGGATCCCCCCACCTCCCAACCGTATGTGCATCCCCCACCTTTAAAAAGAGAAAAAAAAAAAAAAAAAAGGAAAAATCCCAAACCTACCAAAGCATCCTACCAAGCTCTCGGAGTGATGACATCCGGCCTGCCCAGTCTCCAAGTCCATTCTTTTCCTATAAAGAAGTATCCTCTGCAGCTACACAACCTGACTTTCAGATATAAATAACTGATTTTGAAAGACTTCCAGCCCTTAGGATATTGTAAAGGACAAAGGATGTAGTTGGAAATAAAACGCTCTGCTGGTTCACTCTAAAAGCAGGGGGACTGGGGAGATGGGATGAGGGGTTGCAAGGTCGAACCCCTGCAAGGCGGAAGCTCATGTGACACAGGACCGTTCCTGAGCCTTTCCTCCCCTTTCCTTATATACATAGCCACTGCCTGAACTGCTCAGAGGACCTGCCACTCCCCTCCTCCTTTCTTCCCAGTTTCTTCTTTAGGTCTGGAAGAAACGCTATAAAGTCTGAGTGAAATTTCAACTATGATACCATTGTGACCTCGGGAATGTCACGTCTTTAGAGCTGTTTCTCCATCTGTGAAGTGGAAGTAATGATCCCTGTTTCTCCTGGCCTCCTAGTGATGATGTGACAAAATGAAAGTAAAAATAATGGAAAGTGCTCTGAACAAAGTCAGCAATGTGGCGGCGTTAGCCAGTGCCTCCCTGTGAGTGACACAAGACCTATGCTCTCTTGGGGTTATTCTGGAGGTTTGAAGTTTAGGTGAAGGTTGAGATTTCATCTTCCTAGTTGACATTTCATTTAAGTTTTTCATATCACACAAACTCTGTGGTTTAGGAATTAGCTTGCTTTGTTGAACCTAGGGATCCATCCTCTAATTAAATTCTAAAAAGTAAAAAAAAACAAACAAAACCAAAACCAGATCCCCCAGTAAAAACTCAACTCCATATTCAAATAGTACTTCCATCATTGCAAAATACCCTGTCTTTGTGAATTGCTAGACCACTGGCACAGGACTGAGAGCTGAGGAAGACCAAGGGAAGGGAAAGGAGAAAGAAGCTTCAAAAGACCTGCTGCATACACACCCCCTGTGACTCCCATTTTAGATGACTTAAAACACACATTGTTTTAAGTTCCACAGGAAGGAATTAAGAACATAAAAGAGAACACTTCCTGGCTTTCTTGCACTAGAAAAGTAACTGAGGAACACTGTTGTCTTTTGTGAGTTTTCTAAGTGAAAAGTGTAGTGCAGGGGACTGAGGCCCTGTCAGAAGAGACACCCAGGAATTGAAGGCAGCTTTCTCTGGTTGGTCGTCAGGCTTTCTTAGCTTAGGCGCTGATCATAGTTGATGGGAGAGAGGGGGGGGGGGGATGCTGGCTTTCAGGGCAGGGTCCGGTGCGGGCTCTGGCTGGATGGAGCTGGTACCTAAGTCTCCTTCCTCCTCCTGGTGCTGGGAATCCCTATACATCACAGAAAGCTAGGTGTTAGAGAGCTAGGTGCTGCAAGGAGAGAGGCAGTGGAGGAAAACTGGCTCAGAGGACTCAGCAGGTAAGAGTCGGGCTGACCTTTGCTAATCAGGGAGTCCTCCTTTGCCCTCAGTGTCGCACCCTTCTTCCCAGGTTTGGCAGGTAAACACTGCTAGTCTTGGCTTTACAACCTTCTCAGTTTGATTCATTTTGAGAGGTGAGAGTGAGGGAGATTTCAGGTGCTGGAGATCTGGAGGAACAGACGTGAGAGTCCCAGAGAGTAAGCAGGCCGGAGGTGTAGTCTAAAACTTCTCTTACCTAAGAGGGTCTCTCCTGGTGCTCCCATGAAGAATGCCCAAGGAGTGTCTGCTGTTCTGCTGAGCGAAGGCTGGATCTCAAGTAGGATGTTAGAAACCTGAGATTAGAAGAGAGGAGATTGATTACCTGTTGAAAACTAGAAGCTACTAACATGACTGAGAATTCAGGCACAGCCTGTGCTTGTTTCCTGGTGGTCGCTCAAACAGTGTCACTTAGGGGACAAAAGAAAGAACAAGAGAGCCAGCATTGCCTGATTTCAGTGAGTCTGAGTTTCCTAATAATCTCCAAAGACTTTTTTTTTTTTTTTGGACCCTTTTTGATAGGCCACCATGTATCACAAGGTACAATCAGGTATCTCCCAAGGAAGAAAAGTCACCATGCTGAATGTGTCTCCAAAGGCCCTCTGGTCCACATTGCATCCCATTGTGCAACTGCCCTCTCAGCACCTGACACATGGCCATCCAGGCTGCGAACCAACATGCTTGTGTTTGGGAAGGTGCTCCCTCCTGCTGCTAATGCGTCTTACAAATAACGTGTTTCATTTGATTGTTGGGGAAACTGCCTGCAACCCCTTGTGCTACAAGGATGCTCGTGGTCAGTGCCTGGCCCTCGTGGCTTGGGCTTCCAAATACATGGGCATGAGCAGCAGACACCAGAGATACCTTTTCTCCTTGGGGCCATTTCTAGTCCTTTCCCTCCTCTTGACAGAGTTCAAGGTTCTCACTGTTAAGTAAATGCACTTGCATTCTGTCTGGGGGCTGTTGGCCTGCGTTGGACAGCAAGGCCCAGGACCGCAGTCCCCCCACCCCATAGCCACTGTTAAACTTATGCGTCCACCTATTACCTGCTCGTCATATAGCTGAAGTTGTTGCTGATAATTCAGCCAGTGGAGATAGAGAGGATAACAAGTCCTGGAGGTTTTCTTTTTCTCAAATATTTTATATTTTCTTAAATATAACTCAGAGCTTCCAAGCCACAGTTCTAATCTGATCTTTATATGCCTCGATTTTTGCGATTTATGGGCCATGCTCTAATTGTGAGCTCTGCGGATGAGAAGGGGAAAAAGCTTAAGTCACAATGAAAATCAATGGAGAAGGAAAGAACTTTCCCACCCAAAGGGGAAATGACGCCGAGTAGCTGAGCAGCCAGCCCAAGGAATAATAATCTTAGAAAAATGCAGTTCCCTAGAGTAAAGGAAGCGCTGTGAGCCCAGCCCCTTCTGGGCTGTTACATAGCTGTCGCCTGAACTGCAGTAACTTTGTGGGCCAACTTCATCATTTAGCTTCAGCTGCTGGGTAGACCAATACACAGGGCAGTGAAGACCCAGGCTGGGCGAGAGGCAGCTCTGCAGGGAAGGGAGAGGGGTTTGGCCACCTGTGTTCTGGCCAGGCTGGGGGAGGCTGGGGACATGGGGATCCCTGAGAAGCCTGATTGCTTCGATGGAGGATGTCCCCAATAGAAGGGGCGGTGTGGAGAAAGGGACTCTCCGTGCCTGTGTGTGTTTAAAAGCCACGTCCTTTTAACCTCGCAAAAACTCTTCTTTCGGCATGTGCGCAAATGCTGACCTGCTATTTTCTGCCCAAGAGCTGAATGGTGTGGGCAGAGGGAGAGTGAAAGGTGTTCGATGCCCAGCTGGGCAGCGACTGCATTCCCCATCCTGGAGAGCTGGGGAAGGAGCCTCTGCCCTCCCAGTGATCCCCTTTGCCTTCCAGTGGCTCTGCCCGGCTGGCTGAAAACAGTGTTCTTGGTGCTGACTCGTCTCAGAGTCCTTCAGAAAGAAAGCAGAGAACAGATGGCAGTCAGAGTTTTCAGGAGCCACTTACCTCCTTCTTCAGGGGCTTCCCTCTGCCCCCAGGCCCTTTTTGTATAAATGGTCGGTTTCAGCTGTAATAAAGGTCTCTCCCTTTGAAGAATCCTAGGGAGGCAACAGGGACGGTATGTGTTGACCCCTCTTTGGACTTCCAGCCTTTGAGCACCTACCTGTGGTGGGAGCTTTCCTGATCCTCTTCCCAGATGACCCTCCAAACAGTCCTGTGAGAGGTATTATTTCTTCTTCTACAATCATGAAAACTGAAGCCTGATGAGGTTAGATCACACAGGAAATGGAGGAGGCAGAACTTAAATCAGTTTGACCAGAGCGATTTGCATTTTCCAGTGTCATGCAGCCTCAGTTTTCCCACCAGTTAAATGGGGTGAGAATTGTTCTAGATCTCTAAGATCCTCTCCAGCGCATCATTCTCCTTTCTTCTCTGGGCTCCAGCCTCTTTTTAGAGAGTAGGGACTAAGATTGGGCAAGAGATGGGATGAAAAGATGACAGTGGGGATGGGGACTACCTGCAGAGTAGAGATCAAAAAAACATTTTTTGGAAATTGCTCACGATGAGGGTGTGTGTGTGTGTGTGTGTGTGTGTGTCTGTGATATAACGGTATTTTAAATAGACATCGTGAATTATGCCCTGCTTATATGCCAGTCCATAGGTTATTGATGCTGGAGGTAGCTATATTAACTATCAACCAAACTAAAACAACTTGATGACATTTTTAATGGCCTCTCTCCTGGGAGCATGGCTGATATTATGAGGCAATTCTTAAGTATACCTATTTAGTAGGAGGAGAGGTTAAATGGTGCTCCCCATCAGAGCCTGTAAAATTGTTTTCTTTTTGGCATCTATGCCCTCTTTCTACCCTAACTGTTCATTTTACGTAGGCAAAAACAAACATGTTTCTATCCTGTGTTTTTCCCTCTTCTTTTGCTGGAGTGTGGCAGATGTCACAGTCTGTGTCACGTTTGACTGATTTGTAAATCAGGAAATATTTATAGAGCACTTTCTATATTCAAGGAGGCTGTGCCAGGTGATATGGAGGTTGCAGTGCAGGTCTACGATGCTCCCAGGGAACATGCATGCAGTCTTTGGGAGGCACAAACATCAAAATT